TCACACACACACACACATAGATATATATATATATATATATATATATATATATATAATATATATATATATATATATATATATATATATATATATATATATATATATATATATATATATATATAAATAAAATATTATATATTTTTCATATGTAAAGATATTTGCGTATTGCTCTGCATCTTGTTTGTAGTGTGTAAGCCAGGCGCACTTTGCGCCAGACAATAGACCAACTTTGTTCTGGTCTAAAGATCAGACTATTTACAGTTTCTCAAAATAGCAACGAGCCAAAACATGCCTGCTTTTTTAGACCAGAATGCCTATGGGCGCACATTTGGGCGCAAATGCATTTGCTATTTAAACAGCGTGGCGCAACACCTCAAAATGACCCTTGCACCGAGCTAAAAGTAGCAAAAGCGTATTGCGCCGCGCCTTGCGCCACATTGCGCCGGGTGTATGATAGGGCCCCTAATCTCTTCAGCACAGGTGTAACATTGTGGCACCCATCATATGCTAACATGATCAATATTAGAATGGTTAAGCAACAAAAAACCCACCACTCCATTCATTCATTCATTTTCTTTACAGCTTATTTGCTTTATTAATCAGCAGATGCCCTTCTTGCCACCACCCATCTCTGGGAAACATCCCCACACACTTATTCACACTTATTCATACACTACAGACAATTTAGCCTACCCAATTCACCTGTACCGCATGTCTTTGGACTGTGGGGGAAATCAGAGCACCCAGAGGAAACCCACGCGAACGCAGGGAGAACATGCAAACTCCACACAGAAACGCCGACTGACCCAGCCGAGGCTCAAACCAGCAACCTTCTTGCTGTGAGGTGACAGCACTACCTGCTGCACCACTGCGTCGCCAAGCCCACCACTCAAATATTTTAATTCATGTAGGCTTATATTTTAAATAAGCTGTTCATTTGTAGTTCTTAAAAATAGATTTTTATCTTATTTAATTTGTCCCTTTGGAGTGAAGATTTTTAACCTTGTAGATTGTTTTTATGCCTAAACATACACATTACACACTGACTAACATTTAAAAAAGTGAAAAAGCATAATAAGACATCTTTACATATTTAAATGTTATTATATAATATCATACATATAGCAAGCAAATAATTACTATGTTGAAATTGTCTACAGATAGGGTTTGTATTATTAGCACATTTAAAACAGCTAAATGTATAAATAAAAAAAACACGAAATGTCCAGAAAATATATTTATTCTATAATTATTTCATAATATTTTAAAACATAACAACTTGTGTAAATATGTATTTACTGTTAATTATTACACCGGTTCAGTTATCTAATTAAATTGAAGGAATATACACAATTATTCTGTTTCAGTACACAACGAATAAAAACGAAACTTTGTTAACAGTAATTAAATAGAATACCTACTCAATTGTTTTGCACAAGTATTACACATTCAATTAGCAGCATACTTGGCACACCAGGGAGCTTGTGTTTTCATACATCAACCATTAAGTGAGTTTCTGTTGTTCCCTGAGCAATACTTGCACACAAACAAGTTGTCAGGAGAGTCATCTAATAAAGTGACATACTTTACAATAAAGTTTCATTATTTAATGTTAATCAATGTATATTTACTGACTTAAACTAAAAATGAACAGTTCTTGTAAAGCATTTATCAATCATTGTTCAACATTTACTCATACATTATTAAAAAGTTGTGCTTTTTAACAACAATTAATGCACTGTAAGTTAATACATACTAATGATGAACAACTTTAACAAAGATGTCAACAAAGTACAAATACTGTAAGAAATACATTGTTTATTGCTCGATTGTGTTAGTAAATACATGAACTAACATGGACTAATGTAATCTTATTCTAAAGTGTTTTCATGACCTATGACAAATGTCAGTGTGTCATGCAAAGACAAAGATTGAGTCAAACTATGATCTCACAAAGAGAGAAACACTTGATCCATCCCTGAAGGACGTCAAAATGATGTATAGTAGGGTCAGCCCTTTAATAGTGAGAAGTAGTTTTCTTTGATCTGTATCTTAGCTAATAACATTAAAATATTAATGATCAAATACATTTGACCACCTCTACATTTGAAAACCCCTATACCATTCATACCCCTTCATACCATTCTGTATGCATAATCATGCCAAGTAGTCTATGCAAGAAGAAAAATGTTATTATCTCCATATAGTTTGAAACAAAAGTAATATTAGATGCCTAATTTGTATAGTTTGACCTACAATAACCGCTACTGTTTAGTAGCTAAACAGAGGTTACTGTGGGTTAGAATACACTAATATCCATTAAAACACTGAAAACTTAAATATGTTTTATTATTAAATTAGATACAATTTAAATAAATGCATGCGTTTGATTCACTAAAGCATGTATTATACAAACTAACATTGCCGAAAAGTCGACCCCATCCCTAACTTGAGCAATGAAATAGGTTTTATTTTTTGCATTGTGTTATCTACATTGGGAAGAGAATTGATCAGCACCCATCACCCAGAGATCATTAATGAACAATGAGCTGATCAAAATGTCACTGTCTTTGTCTACAGGTATAATGTGGAGGAAGATGGGGGTTGTGATGACCTTGATCAAGGGGATAATGGATGGAAAATCATCCACACAGATGTTTTTCGCTTCCCGCCATATAAGAGCCTCCTGTGTGCAGTATTAGGGGTCGGGGCACAGTTTCTGACTCTGGCCACAGGTATAATACTGTTAATTGTTATAATTTACTATTTTAGTTACATTAATAATGAATTAAAGAATGTAAAAATTTGTATAAATGCTTTTAAAAGACAAAAACCAATTAAGTGACTTTAACTGCATTATAAATGGCTTCATAATGTGTGAATGGTGAAAGACACTTGATCATGATTAAGAAATGTTTTTGTTTGTTTGATTGTATAATGTCACGGTCACCCTTACACAGTCTGAACTTTTTTTTTTTAAGTTCAGAGGGGTGCGGAATGGGGACCAAAAAGGTTTTAAGGTTTCAATTTAATAATTAAATAAGGCAAAACTACTGAAAATCAAAATGTATTATATTTTTAGTTAATTCACTCCTCCTACATAAGATTTTTTCTTTATTTATTCATAAAAATTATTGAAACATTTTACTCATGGGCTGTTTTAAAGACATCTGAAATATTCTATCATGTAAATATTGTGCATAAAATTAATTTATTATTAATTGATCTAGTAGAAAAATATTTAGGTTTTTAAAATATTGCTCATACTGTTAATATATAAAACATGTATATGAAAATATATATATATATATATATATATATATATATATATATATATATATATATATATATATATATATATATATATATATATATATATATATATATATATATATATATATATATATATATATATATATATATATATATATTATCATATATATATATATATATATATATATATATATATATCTATTTTCTAGAATAAAGGAATTAGCTGTCAAATTCTGATAAAATGAGATGAGAGTTGCATATAGGAAGAACATGCCCGCTGATTTTTGGCTCTTCTTTCCTGGTTTCCTCAGGAATCATTGTCATGGCACTTTTGGGGATGTTTAATGTCCATCGTCACGGTGCCATAAACTCTGCAGCGATTGTACTGTACGCTCTGACCAGCTGTGTGTCAGGATACTGTTCTTGCAGCTTCTACACTCAGATTCAGGGCCAGCGCTGGGTCTGGAACATCATCCTCACCTCCGCACTCTTCTCTGGTGAGACCCCATCACATTTTTTTACATCACTACAGTGGAGATCTAAATTAGAGAATAATTTATCATCATTTGTTACACATAAATACTTGTGTATAAATGTTCATTACTAACCTTTCTATGAACATGATTTGATTATAATTGCAGATCAATGACAAAAAATAACCAACTGTAACGTTCGCAATTATATAAAATAAATATATAAATGCATCATATATGAACACATACAGACACCCACACTCTCCGATGTTATCAATTACAGAAAAACTACATACAGCATACATTTAGTTCTTATTTGGGTTAAAAAAACATGCAACATATAGTATAGCCCACAGTCAGAGCAAACTTCTCATTTGTATTTTTAATCTTCACCAGCACATGTAACCTCCTATTAGAAAGTAATTCCATCATTCCGAGTTCATAATAGTTCTAAACACGATGATAATAGCTATACATGGCAGTTTGTTCATGTTTTAAGTTGGTAAAAGAGTCATTCGCTTCTACGTTTTTTCGCGCTTCTCTCCCGCCTATGTTTCTGAACGGATCGAATGTCAGAAGCACTTCAATAATCAGGCACACGTTATTATCATCAGCTAAAGAAGTTTGTTATTTCAAATATAGCCCCGCACAAGAGCGATCGCGAGGATGCGAGCTCCCTGGAGAAAGTGAAGCTGCTCGCACTTTTAGACAACCTCGTAAAACAAAAACAGGACATGGCAGATTCTGCCTTTCCTGGCTTTGTGGTTGTTTATTAAGACTACGACAAGATTTGTTTGAGCTCAGGTCAACCATTGCTTGCTTGTTTATGTTTATATTGTTATTGTTATTATTATGGTGTAATGTCTCTGCTGTGTTTTTAAAAATGGCGCTTTCTCTTTTTTTATTCTCTTGCTTCTACGAGTGACATATTTTTGTAAATCAATACCGTTCAGTTCCCTGTCTCATTAGTTCTTTGCAAAGGGTGACCAAAACGTGGTATGGTATGGTTCACTTTTAGGTATCTTTTGACAGTGGAAACGGCCATAAAGCATACCAAACCAAACCTTATCATACTGTACTACTTAGAGGAAATGGTCCATAAGCAGTGGCATTTAAAAGTAGAAAATTGTAGGTTGTTGTTGATTTTGATTTCCACTGGAGTGCAGATAGTATTGTTTTCCACAGTGCAGTTTTAAATGTTACCTGACTCATTGTGTATACTGTGCTCTATGTTAGACTTTCATTCCAAACATAGCATATCGTAATTACAGTGTTTTTACAAGCAGATATAAGTGGCATTTGGCCCACTCACTTTCTTCTTCTTTTTTTGCTTGTGTGATTCTTTCAGCTCCGCTCTTCTTCACCTGGAGTGTGGTGAACTCTGTACACTGGTGGAGCGGCTCCACTCAGGCACTTCCTGCCACGACTGTGTTGCTGCTTCTTGGCGCCTGGGTTCTGGTCGGCTTCCCGCTCACAGTCATTGGTGGAATCGTTGGGAAAAATAGAGCAGGCAACTTTCAGGCTCCATGTCGTACGCGTAACATTGCACGGCAGATCCCCCAGCAGCCCTGGTACAAACACACTGCTGTGCACATGGCCATCGGAGGCTTCTTGCCTTTCAGGTAAGAGCAGTGTGTTACAAAGAAATCATAGTAGGCTTGGGCGTTAATACGGTAATATGGTATACTGCAGGATCTAAAAATAGCAACGGTATTGGTTTTAATACCGTTATACCGTCATAAAAACAATGCACTTAAATAGAAGATGAGTATTAAATAATAAATATTATTGTATTATTGATAATAAATAATAATAAATATTATTGTAGGCATTAAATATGCCTACAAAAGTGTGGAAGAGAGAGAGAGAGGTGAGGTAAGATGGCGAGTCGCGTACCAAGTGACCTGCAGTGTGCGTTTATGCATGCGTTTGTGTAAAGAGGAGAGCATGCTGTCTGTGTGTCGCTTGGTTCTCTCTCTCTCTCTCTCTCTCTATGTGTGTGTAACACACAACACATACACACACAGCATCCACGTGGATGGAACCAGCAACCTTCTTGGTGTGAGGCGACAGCATTACCCACTGCGTTGTCCTTAGTTTACATACAGTTGAAGGCAAATAAACCTTCTTGTAAAATAATATTAAAATATTTCCTAAATGCTGCTTAACATTTTTAACAAGTTATTAAACATAATAGTTTTAATAACTTCAATTTTCTAATAACTAATGTTTTTTGTCTTTGCCATGATGTCAGTTAAAGCTATTTTACAAGTCTACAATTTTTGCAAGGTACTAGTCTTCAGCTTAAAGTGATATTTAAAGGTTTACCTAGGTTAATTAGGTTAACTAATCAAGTCATGGAACAACAATTGTTTGTTCTGTAACCAGTCGAGAAACTTTGGGAAACATTAAAAAAAGAACAGAAATTTTAGGAGAGCTACATTTCTAGAACATTATATTATATTATATACAAAAATAAGTATAAAGATTAGAATAAAGAATGAAATATAATGGAATTTATTATATTCCATTATTTACAGATATTTTATTTGATCGTTATATATAAACCAGTACAATCTAATATCAATTATCATCTAATATCAACTATTTTACTCCCTATCCTTCAGCTTAGTTCCTGATTTATCGGGTTTGCACAACGGAATGAACCACCAATAGACTCTTTTGACATTTCCTGGTTTTTCAGCAGCAGAAGTCATTACAGTTGGGTAACTTGGAGTGCAGTGAATGGGAGAATACAACATATACTTTTTCACAATCTTATTAGCTGAAAAAATAAAAGTAAAAACTCCACGATGGTGTTATTGAGACTTTCAGGAAAGAAAACAAAATTGTGTGTGACGGCAGGCAGATAAGACAACAATGTCAAATTTACTGTCCTGCCCATACACACTGCATTTCAAACGCCCTGATAGTTAGTTTTTTTATTTGTTTTTTATTGTAATTGATGCAAAGATGATATAGTACATGAAGGCATATATGAAAGTAGATTGTTCCAAAAATCCAAATATTAAAAGATTTGATATTTTCTAAAATTTAAGATGCCGATGACCATTAAACACCTTATAGATTGATTTCACGTGGATGCCATTTTTAAAGTGAAAGCGAGGCTGCTGTGGCAAACCTAGAAGTATTGCCTGAAAAACCTGTAAGTTTCGCCTGGAGTCACACAGGAACGGCGTTTGCGATAGCGTATTGTTGTGTTCCTGGCTGTATATCTTATCAGCAAAAAGAAATTGACACATATTTATCATTTCACTGCTTTCCGTGTGACCTGAAAGTTTTTTCTGAGTGGATAGTGAAAAAAAATTCAAATGATATTGGCCTCATTTTTAGCTAAGTAAATGACACTAGCTAGCTAATATGTTCTTTCCCAAACATGTTTTAGATGCCATTTATTAAACTCAAGTTAATTAACTGATTCTTTCACTATTAGCGTCGTCACAATACTGAATTTAGGCAACAATTGTTACTGAAATAATAAAAAAAAACTCCATTTCCTGCCAACATTTGAGCGAGTTCTTAAAAGCCGCTGATTTGCCAGTGCTCAACAGAAATGACTGTGATTAACAGTGAAGTTCATCAGTTCACTACTCTTCAACGATGTTTACTAAGGGCAAACGAGCGATCTGCTGATGACTCAACTGATCTTCATGGCTTTAAAACACTCCAGTGTCCCCGTATCGGTGTTTGCACTCGGTGAACTGATGACATTCAAGGCCAATTGCAGTCATTTCTGTTGAGCACTGGTGAACACTATGGCCAATCAGCTGTGTTTAAGAACGCACTTAACATCACTAAAATGTTATCGGGAATTGGATGCTTTTAACACAGCAGTACCGATTGGTAGCGAAATTCCAGTATCATGAAAAAAATGAGACAACACCAGGGTGTGCTCCAAACATTTTACACAGAACTGCATTGTTTTTTCTGTCTCTAGGTTACATAGACTAAAGCAGAAAATCATCCCCACAGTGTTTACCTAGTGCCATGAACTGAAGCCTAGGAGGACACTTAAGCGTATTACTCTTAAAGAGATTGTGATTTTGTTTGATGCCTAATATACTATTAATTGTTTCAATTAAACTGAACTGAATGATATTAAAGTGATGTTTACACCACATCTGCACTTTAAAATTGCAGCAACAACTGAAGGTTTGTGTTCTATGGCATGTTATTGCAATGTTTACAGTGCTGATCCTCTACTTACAGGTTTCTTTCCACCACAGCCTCACTTTCGTTTTTAAAATGGCAGCTGCATGAAATGAGTGTATATGTATCTTGTGTAGAGGGTCCATTACTCTGGCATATATTTTATGCTGTGGATGCCCTAAAAGCTTCTTTATTAGATCACATTCAACATGTAATTTTTTCTCCCTTTGACTTTTCAGTGCCATTTCAGTAGAACTGTACTACATCTTTGCCACGGCGTGGGGTCGTGAACACTACACACTGTACGGCATCCTGCTGTGTGTGTTTGCCATCCTGCTGTCGGTGGGCGCCTGCATCTCTGTGGCACTCACCTACTTCCTGCTTTCAGGCGAGGACTACCGCTGGTGGTGGAGGAGTGTTCTCAGCACCGGCTCCACCGGCATCTTTATATTTGTTTACTCTCTCTTCTACTACCACAATCGCTCCAACATGAGCGGCCTTGTACAGAGCGTTGAATTCTTCGGATATTCTTTGCTCACCGCGTTTGTTTTTTCACTCATGCTGGGAACAGTTTCCTTTTGGGCTTCTTTGGCTTTTATTCGTTACATATACCGTAGCCTTAAGATGGACTGAGGGGATTTTTTTCCTCCCTCATAAATGTGGAAGAGACTCGTGGACCAGATTTTTGTTTCTGAAGTATATTATAAATAATAAACTATCCAAACTGATGCCAATCATTAAAAGGAAATGGGGAGCAGACAAATGTGACTAAAGACTTTAATATTTTGCTCACCAACACCCTGATACTTAAAATTCACATAGGTTAATAGATGCTAGATTATATGCACATCAAATACTGACGTATTTGGATTGTTTGTGCTGAATGGAAAAGAATTTCATACTTCAAAATGTTGCTTTCTGTTCGTGGGTTTTGTTAAAGGAACACTCACTTTTTTTTTTTTTTTTTTTTTTTTTTTTTTGAAAATAGGCTCATTTTTCAAGTCCCCTAAGGTTTAACAGATGAGTTTTACAACTTTTGAATCCATTTACCTGATCTCTAGGTCTGGATGTAACACTTTTAGCTTAAATCATTGAATCAGATTAGACCAAAAGATAATTTTCCTATTTAAAGCTACTCTGTTTTGTACTTACTTTGTGTACTAAGACAGATAGAAATTGAAATGTTTATATTTTCTAGGCTGATATTGCTGGTAATTGTACTCCAGTGTCTCCCAATCCTGTTCCAGAAGGCACACCATCTGTACACATTTTCGACCTCTTCCTATTGAAACACATCTGAATCAAATCATTAGAAGAGACTTGAAAACCTGACATGAATGTTTCAGGTTAGGATTACTGTTGATGTGCCTCCAGTAACATAATTGAGAAACACTGGTATAATCTCATTTCGACATAATAATCTAGGTACTTAAACTAGGTACTGTTTCTAAGAATAGTCCTCAGCACTAAACCTGCTGTGTTCCTTGTCATATCAACTAAGAAAATAACTTTTAATTTTCTGTTGGTTTTATTACAAAAATGTTGTACAGAAGAGTCTGGCTTTAAACAGAAACATTTTTGAGATTCTACTGGTCTAGTCTGAATCAATGATCTATGCTAAACTAAGCTAAAAATTCTCCAACCAGACTCGGAGATCATCTCAATGACTTTAAAAAATGGTAAAACTCAACTGTATAACTCTTGTAAAATGGGTCCATTTAAAAAAAATGGAGTGTTCATTTAATGCAATGAGTATAATTTAAAAATATTTAATGTTAGTTTCAAATGATAATGGGACAAGAATAAGAGGCCTTCATACTTATAGTTTCATGCAACCATGGAGGATATAAAGCACTTATATGTACTGTAAGTGAGTTTACTTGATTACAGGTGAATTTGTTGTTATAAGGAAGGACATTATGATCTTTGAGGTAAATAGATTTGTCATATTGTGCACAAATGGTGCAATGTACATGTTTTGATCAGAATAGAGTTGGAGAGAAGGTTGACGCAATGAAGGTTGAAGAAGATGAGGAAGCTGAAGAAATGAAGAATAGATTATGGAAGCAATACCATGCTCTAAAGTCACCTTCAACTGTGATCTGTTGAAATGTAAATAGTATGTTTTCAATAAAGTCATTTTTATTAAGGTAAGAGAAATAAATGGGTGAAATGCAACAACAGTAGTGTTTATCACAAGATGTCTGCACAAATACTTCCAAGGTCACGGTCAGATAGATCTTGCCTTTTTGTACTGCTTGTTATATATGGATGCAGTGCTTTAAAAAATGACCTTATCAATGTAAGAAAGCATACTCAAATAAACACATTACAAATCTATATAAATTTCTTAAAGGAATAGTTCACTGATTGATAAAATATTCAGTGAACTCTCAGTGGGTACAAAACCTATGAGTTTCCTTTTTCTACTGAACAAAACATACTTTGAAAATTGTTAGAAACCTGTAATCGTTGACTTTAATAGTGGAAAACAAACAAAAAAATATTTAGTTAGTGAACACAAGTTTCCAAAAAATATAATAATACTAATTTATATAAATATCAATTTGCATTAAACAGAAAAAGGAAACTCAAATAGTATAGAAATTAGATTTAGATTGTGTAAAGTATTCTTTCAAAACCAATTAAAGTAATTGTTTAAAAAAAAAAAAAAGTAACAAATATTAGCAGATGTCTGCAGTTATAAGAAGTCATGACCAGGGGACAAAGTATGGCACCAAACATTAAAAGCTATATGGTCACCTTGGATTTAGGGTTCTATCTGCGTGTATATATATATATATATATATATATATATATATATATATATATATATATATATATATATATATATATATATATATATATATATATATATATATATATATATATATATATATATATATATATATATATATGTGTATGTGTGTATGTATATATGTATGTATGTATGTATATATATATATATATATATATATATATATATATATATATATATATATATATATATATATATATATATATATATATA